CGCTCAAAGAGAGCCAGATACCAGGAAAACGCCTTAAAACAAAGAACATTTTCACAGCCATTCCAGGTGTTTGGATTAAACCTGAATCAGGATTTAACCCAGATTCAAATCCTGACTCAGCCATGAAGCTCACTGTGTGACCATGGCCAGTTGCTCTTTTTCAGCCTAACCTACCTCACAAGGTTGTTGGGGGAGGGAAATCAAGGGGCAGGATTTGACTGAAACACATTGGTTAATAAACAGAAAATATTCAGAGGAATATTCCTGGTAAACTCTTTTGTTTAGGCCAGTTTGTGGAGCTGAAATATTCCTTCACTGATTGATAGGTATTGCAATTTCTGATAGCTTATTTGTGTCCATTTGTTTTGTGTGTAAAGTCTGGCCACTTTGCTGACATATGGTGATATTGATGACATTGGAAGGTGATTAGATCTCACCTTTTAGAAGCACAAGGTGGATGAATGCAAGAGTCCCTCCTCCAACTTTTCCTTATGCCAACAAGGTAGGTTGGGGTGACTGGCCTAAAGGGATCCTGTGAGCTTTCATGGCTGAGGATGGACTTGACTCAAGTCTCCTGCTCCTAGTCCTATATCCTAACCACTATACCATTCTGCTGCCTTAGCTCCAGATTTGAGGGGGGTGCATGATTAGTCCAGTAATAATATTGACAGAATTGGCATTGGACCATGCCACAAGTTTGGGGTCATTTGTATTTCTGGCTTGATCTGTTAGCAGAAATCTCCATAAAGCAGTAGAGGGATGCTTGATCTCCTAGATCTATGATAGACCTCAAGGTGGGCTTCTTTGATTAAAAGACTAATAAATGCTAATGTTACCACAAAACAGCTGGCAGATGATTCAGAAAGAAGTTACAACATTACCCAGGTATTAAAGAACCAATTGTTGCATTCCTCATTTGCATCATTTGTACAGTGCAGTATGTGCATCATTGTAATACATAAATTTATGCTGGTCTATGACCGTAATAAAGATTTGATTTGATTCGAATAATAAACAAACAAACAGAAGCAAAGCTATCATCATACTGCAAATGTCAACTAACTCATGGATGAAAGAATAACAGTGTCGCACCCAACAACTCTTTTGAAAATGGAAGCCATCAACTGGTGGTTTATCACTGTACTTGTAAATTTTCCCTGACTCAATTTTCTAATCTCCCCCAGACACGGATGTTTAGATATTCCCTACTCCGGATATTGTGCTATGCCTCTGACAAAGTAAGCTGTAGTCCATGAAAGTTTTTGACATATATATGCTTTGCAATGTTTGATTAATTGAATGTGCCAATGAATCATATCACACAGTTTATATCACTGAAGGTATGCCTTCCCATAAAGTTGGCTCATACCTTCAGCAACTATAAAAAGTAAAGCAATTAAGGCTCCAGACTTCTATCAACTTATTTCAACAGAAGTCTGGTTGTATAATAATCATACTTAGAAGCTTCAAGTAGGAAACAAGGCTCTTTTAATGACTGCCTCTGCTCCCTTTCTGCTGCCCGTTTGTGTTTAGCTAGACTGCTCTGAAGTCCCTATCCCTTCATAACTAATCTCAGTTATTATATTTCTTGATTAAAATTTTAATAAACTAATATATAGAATAACGAAGAGGAAAAAAGAGGAAAAAAAAAGACAAAGCCAAAAGTGCAGAAAAAAAGAAAAGAAGGAAAATATAAGGAAGTAGCTTCCGATTTCTTTATAGCAGTTATAAGTATAAATTTACCTCTTACTCTATTGTTACAGCATAATTTTTATCTATAATCTATCTTTTTCTAATCAATGAAACCATAAATCAAAAGTTCATCTTTTTCTGTTTCACACAGTAAGTTTATAAGGGGTTTCCAGTCAGCAATAAACTTAGATAATGTCTTTTCCTTGATCAAATATGTCAATTTAGCCCTCTCAGCAAGTTCTGTCAAAGTCCCTATCCCTTCAAATCCCTCTGAACTAACCACTGAATTCTCAGCACCCACCACAATCAAGACTAAGATGTGACAGCAGCTATTATTTACCAGAAGTCATTTTGACATAGATCACCCATCCTGGTATGAAGCTCTCCAGAGTTTTAGCTAGTGATTTGGTACATGAATAATCTTATCCTTTGAATGTAGCTTGACTAGGTTTTATTCAACCAGGATGAATTTAGAAATAAACAAACTGGGCTTGGCTACCTCGGGGTCATTGTCATTGCAGCTTTGGACACATCTTTAATTGTTGACACAGATATTTGGAACTGCAGCCTCAGTACTTTTCCCCAAAATGTCCAGCTTGGCCTAAATCAATGAATAAACCCTTTTGCCTTTGGAAAAAAAAATCACGCATACATATTTGCAGACTGACCTGATCATTAAAATGTAAACCTGCACTTGTTAGCCTAATATACTGGCTGAAGTTTTGAGATGGGATGATATGCCCTTGGGCCCTTGGCTAATATCGATTCAATCAATTTATTTATTGTTTACTTGCCTAATATATTTTTAACTCAGGAAATTAATTTTAAACTGTAGATTTTAAAGTGCATTAAATCATGAGACTACTTATACAGGTTGCTTAAACAAGCTAACAAATATTTTGTTGGTTCTTTGTTTTCTTTCAGATCCAGATTAGGAGATGGTATTAAGTAATCTGGCCAATAGACTGCTACAATAATCCAGATGTGAGGCAACCAAGGCATGAACCAGTTGCTTTGCTATTTCTGCTGTGAGGAATCAACAAATCCAATGAACGCTCGTTAAATGAAAGTTACGGGGTTTGGTAGTTTTATTGATGAAGGGCTTTCAAGAAAAACCCTAATTGATTTGGGCTCTTTAGGTTCCTCACCACTGAGGAGCCCCACAGCAGGTAGATTCCTGTCAAAACAGGAAGAGGGGATGGAAAAGCAAGATGGGGTGATCCGGATGGAAGACAACATCTCTGTCTTGCCCATGGTCACTGTTCATTTTGAGATGGTGGGAATACATCCAGTTCTGGATCCACCAAGACACTTAGAAAGGAATGCCCACACCATGTTATCCAGAACAGGGACAGAAGAGTTCATCTACATTGTGGACATATACAGTATGTAATGATCACACTTATAAGAAGAAATCAAAGAACCCAAAGGAAGGATGTACACAGAACCCTGAGGACTACTGACTGAGGAAGAGAAGGGTTTGGGAAACAGAACCATTGCACACCACAAAAAAGTGTGGTGAGATAAGTAGAACCAAAACCACTGAAATGTGGTACTGGTGACACCAATGGAACTTAGATGGGACAATAATTTTTGACAGTGCAAATGCAGCCAATAGATCTAGTAACAACAGCACTACAGGTAAATGCTTCACCTTGGCCACCAGCAGACTCTTGATAACATAAGCCAAACGGACTTTGCACAGTGTCAGAAACAAAACAAAAACAAAGCTGATACAACCTGATAAATAGTATAAAGACAAAGTAAAAATTAGGGTAACTCTGTATTAGCTGCAGTATAAAGATAAAACAGTTTAAACACTGAAAAAAATTACTCAAATACAAAAAATAAGCATCCAAATAAAAGATACTCCAAAAAAATCCAGAGAGCTAAATTGCTTGCAGTTCATGAAGGAAACATTAACCTGTTACCAGAGGTTCTGTTCTCTTATCTGAAGGTGGTAGTAGAACATAATGTGAAGGACGTAATCTTTTTTTTCAAAATATCTGAAAGAAACCTTGACCTGGGTAGGCCAGACACATTTGGAATGCTTCCTCAGTGGCCTCAACTCTTCTACTTATCTTTTGCTAACAGTAGTTACTCTTGAGTAATTTTTCTATAGCATTTAAATTGCTATAGGAATGGACAACAATACTGAAGGATTAAGGTTTTTCTTTCCCAGCAAAGGATGAAAAAAGGTGTGTTTCTGGAATCTGGAAGCTGTTGCTGGAAAAATAAGAGTTTACAAAAGGAAAAGTGATCAGAGGGACCAGTGGTATGGGGGGTGAGGGTTCTGAAATTATTTTGGCACTCATTTCTTCTATTATGGAAGAAAAAGGAAATTCTAGTGTGTCATGTTATTGGCTACCCCACCTCTATAGAAGGTAAGAGCCTCCCAGAGTTTCTTTACCAGGATTGATTGAAAAAGGATAGGATGTGGTTACAGAAATCTCAGCAACTGATTCTTTTCCCCTTTAGAATTCACATTACCTGATTCCTATGAAGGAGACCTTCTCAGTCTCTTACTTGTGGCTCCTGGAGGAACTGATAACAAGGCCATTCTCCTAATTGATAAAGGAGGAATGTCCAGCTGATTAGAACAGAAATCTCTCTCTGGTTCTAAACATACCATTACACAATGCAGTATCATTTAAATTACCCAAGTGCTAAAGTTGTAACTTGGACCTTTTCAGTTGTGAATATAAAATAATTATCAAATTCATTAGGGGTAAGTGAGGCAAAACATTCCTTAACAGCAGGATGGGATGGTGGAACTAGAAGTGATTGAAAAGTGCCCCAAATCTGCCTGGAGGACTTGGCTTTATAGATAGATGTTTTGTTAATCATGTTTTGCCTGTTCCAGGTAGATAAAGTAATTAGAAAGGGCTTGTTGGAACAATTTCCTCTGGGAGTCCATGGCCCAGAGGGCGAGATCTGGAAGGCCTCAGGAGCTTGTGGCCTCCATGGCAACCATAGTAAGAGTTCACCTTTATGTTTACACTGTAGTGATAAGAGCAAATGGTCCACATTGGTTGTGTCCACAGATTCTTGCCTGGTGGCTCTGTTCAGAGCATCCAGGTCCTTTTCAGGGAGAGGTGGGTGGGATAAATCCCTGCAGACCCAATGGATGATTTTATCTTGCTCATAGCTACTCTAAGTTGGACTTTAGAGGGGAAAACCCCTTTTGGTGAGTGAGGCAGGGTCATGTGTTATAACAATCTGGGATTCTTTCAAACTTTTGGAGCCTGAGACTTTCTGATTCTCATTTCTGACATCTGCTAATGCACTCAGAATCACACAGACAATTGTTTGTGTTCTATTGTATTTATTAACATCATCTGAGTAAACCTGGCTTTGCCAGCATAAAAGGCACTGTAAGGACAGGAGAAAGACTGGGGTGGGTAGTCCTGCCTGTACAAAACCACCAAGGAAGTCTTTGTTGCATAGTTTGTATGATTTTGACATCAGAACTAATAGATGGGAATAGCTACGTGCTGCAGTGAGAATCTTATGTTTGACACATACTCAATCTCGATGGCACACTCTTTGGCTTTTGCTGTTTTCTCTTCCCCTCCCCATAAGCAATAAAACTGCTTTGCTTGCTTTCGTCCTGGAGGAGTAGATAGCAGGTACTAGGCTCAAAAAATAGCTTATAATAGATCTAAGAATGCAATTTGAAAATATTTTACAAAACACAGACACACAGCAATTAAATAAAACTAGCCACTTACACAATACAGTAGAGGAGAGGGGGAAAAAAGTTGAACTTTCTTCATCAAGTATCTCAGCATCTGCAACCTCCCTCCAATATCCAAGCTGCTCTTATGTGCTGACAGGCTTCACACATCATTCTAAAACTCCATTTTAAACCATGTTTTGTTGATTAAGATAGCTGGATGGATTCATGCCAAGGTGAGAACCATATTTTACAAATCACAACGGCTATGTTTACATATTGCACTACATCACAAACCAACCCATCCCATTTGGCTTAGTGCAATCTGTGAACCCAGTGACAGGATTACAGATCTGTTCTAGATGGAACAGGGCAAGGCTTTTACTCTAGGGGGCTTGGCGCAGACTGAAGCCTCCCTGTAAATGCTTTGGACCTTACTGGTTAGACTGGGACAGCTAAGCTGGATGGGTTGATGGCTGGAAAATATAGCAATGGGGTCATAAGCAATGAAGCTCCCTCACTGGCACAAGTTCTTGTGGGACTAAAGGACATGCCAGAGAACAGCAGATCTGAAGTGTTAGAGTCTCTCTTTTGGTTTGCAGGAAGCAGCAGCTGTGGGAATGTAACTTTCTCATTTCTACAAAGAAGCAGAGCTGAGAGGTTACATCTGCTCATGCAGCTGAATGTGGCAAAGTGAGCAGTATTACTTCAAACTACAGGCATGGAGGGTGGAGATAGGAACTGGGCTTTTGAGTGACCACAGAAATCCAACATTTCAGCAAGTGGCATATGTGGGAGAAAAGGTTCTTCTTCAAGCTTTCTTCCTGTTGTGCTGCTCTTTGTTTTGTTTAATTATGAGGGAGGGGTGAGGGAGTATTTTTAAGAATATAGCAGATTGCAAAAATCTAACCTTGTCCAGTTTTTTCCCCCCACAAAGTGCCTCATTATTCTGCACATGCAGATTCAACCAAGTGTGCATACCGGGGGAGGATGTTGTGAGTGGGATCAGAGTGACTTGAAATTATGGAAAACAAAGGAATTGCCAAGTGTTGGACGGGCCAAGACAGGCTGCAGGGTTGATATCAAATTTAATGGAGTTGCTAGTAAAAGGAAGCTTGATGGGCCTTGGAGCTAACACTAATAATAGTGTGCTGGCCTGTTATTTCATAGGGAGAAAATTGATATCAGTACTTTAACCCATGACAGCAGGGACCCCCACCACCTTCATGGCTCAGATTTTTTGAGGGGGGGGGAGAGGCAGACCAACACTGGTATAACAGTAGTGGAAGGTAACAATCTAATTTAGATCTTATAAAAGGGAACCCAGCTACTCTTTTCCTATCTAGTCCCTCTCCAAGTCCTATCAGCTAAAGTGGCAGGATAAAATAAGATGCACACAGCAACTAAGACAGGAGCTACCATGCTCTTTCCTCAGTCAAGACAGGCTGTGAGCTTATTCCAATGAAAATAAATTGGCAGAGCTCTATTGTTTGTATATAAATATGTCTTTATATACTCTGCTTCAGGCAAGGGACTAAATGAATTGGGAACACAACCCACATAGCCTCTTATGGACTACAGGAAATGAGAAAGTTGGACAAGTTTAAATCAAACAAGTACTTACAATAGAAATGTTTCTAAGAAAATTCTGCTACAGTCTCTCTAGGTAATTTCAACTTGACTGTCCCAATTCCAGTGGCAAGTGATGTTGAAGTACTGGAAATGCAGCTCCCTAAATAAAGGGTCATTTCCTCCCAAGCCTTCTCCATATCATAAGCCATGTAGACAAAGCCTTGGGAGTGGCTTGATAGTTTAAGCTGCGCTATGGTTCTGCAAGATGTCAAAATCAAAGTAAAGCTCAAACGGTGGCTTTCTAAACTTCCCACTTCAGGAAGACTTTCCCATGACATCTACTGAGCATCCTCTGAATGCAGTGGTGAGATCCCAGAGGATGTGCTGTTGGCAACACAGTTTGAATCGTCAATAAGGGCCCCAAGTGCTGAACCATGGCGCCAGCTGAGCATACGCAGAAGACCGGTCCTGTGGATATGGGCCCTTCCTAGGCAGCTTGCCCTGTGTTACAAACAGCTCCTTAGTGAGAAGATGGATAAGTGCCTAAAGAACATGTGCATTTCATAGAACATAACCAACCCAGCGGAATGTGAATTTCTTCACTTGCTGTTTTGCCCCAGTGCTGTTTAAAGGAGAAGACGTCCCTCATTTTGGGCACCAGAAATCTGCCCATGGAGTCAAATTGCAGCCTAGCTGTGGGGGCCAGAAGGGAAGAGGTTGGCAAGAGCTCCTTTCACAGCTTTCCCTCATATTACACATGCGGGAGTTGTGTGAAGAAAAGCTGTGACTGGTTTGGCTGAAGTTTCTGTGTTGGTGAGGTGGTAGCAGCTGAGAAGTTACCCCAAAAAGTCCATGGGTACAGAGAACTGAGACTGGCAGTGGGGCAACGCAATTCCCACTAGTGAGGAACTTGTACTATCAGGGGATATTGAGGCACCACGTGTGTGGGGAGTGGAAGGGCTGGCTACAGAGATAGTCGGCAGTGTGGGGCAACCCCTCTCTTCCTCCAGCCCTAAACTGAAGCAGAAGAGTAAGTTAACGGGTGCCAGAAATATGTAATGGCCCCAGCAGGGGGCCCTCAACGGCTTCTTGGATGGCTGGGACAAAAACTGGCCATATCGTGCAGCTCCTGAGGTGAGAGTGTAGCAATCAGGGTCCTTCTCATCAAGCTAGCGGGGAAGGGAGGTTGGAAGGCAACCAAATCAAAGATCTATCCCATTGCAGAGGGTGCATCTTCACCCAAGATTTGACAGAGTTCACTGAGACGTTGCTGCATTTCAGGGACTCCAGCCAGCTGCTGCTCCAGACGCTGCTTCTCCTCCCGTAGGGAGAGACGGGCGGCAGGATCCAGCTTCTCAAACCGCCAGCCACCCTCCCCATCAAACTGGAGGAGATGGGTATGGTATTTCCTGAAAATAAGGATGGAGGCTATTGAGAGACTATTCCAGGATACAGCTTCAGCATTCAGCCTGCCATCTTTCTCCTTGCTCAAGGTCAACCTCGCCCACACTGGCTCTGCTACTGTTCCTCATTCCTCTAGACAAATGTCCCATGTGTGGGTGGGGTTGGCATCCCTCTCTGTTTTAGGGGAGGAATTTTTCCACTAAGCTGTCCCCTGGGGGAGTCAGAAACAAAACCACTCTGTCTCCAGGGATGAGACCATGGTACCTTTGCCCACACAATTTCCTGCTGAGGACATGACTCCCTGCTTGGGAGAGCAGCCAGGGACTGGAGGACATGACAGAAAGAGAGAGAAGTGGAGGAAGGAAAGGAAGTATAATTGGGGGCTGGTGGGGAGAGGAAGGATGAGGCTTGGAAAGTGGACTGGCTTGAGGCTTGCCAGATTCAATACATAGTTCCCCTGTCCCTTTTTATAGCATGAACCTTTCCTGACACAAAACTTCTGTTCTTAAAGGCCCAGGATCACTGGGGAAGAAGGTCCTAGGAAAAAGTTCCTTTCCTATCTCTGCTTTAGGAAAGAGGAACCAGATAGGCAATCTGTTCCATAAGGGCTGCTCCTGGACACCAAGGTAATGGCAAATTCTGTCTCCAAGCTCCTAGGCCTGCCCATCTGGGATATTTGTGGGTATGAGTAGGTAAGAACTTAGTAAAAAGAGATTTCTACAGCAGTAGAAGAAAAGAAAGAATTCGCAGTCAGGGGAAGCATTGAGTTGGGACGGGCTTCTTGGAGGAATCAGATGCCTGCCCTTGGTGCTATCATGGAGGGTTACCAGGCATATATATCCCAGGGATAAGCAGAAGCAAAAGTAATAACATGTGAATTCTTTTGGATATGTAATGCCTTCCCTTTGTTACTTAGTCAAATCAATCACACACAAAACACCACTAGGTGAGGTGTATTCTCAGGCAGGAATATATGGCTGGATCTCTGGGGAAGGACTCAGGAAGAATTCTCCTAATTTCTTTGCTTTCCCAACAGCTTTGCATGAAGACAAAGGGCTCAGAGGATTCTACAGGGGATGCTGAGCAACAGATAAAAAAATGAGACTGGGTCTGCACGTCATGCTAAGGCATACGTCATTGCTTGGTTTTGTCTCAGCATGCTATGCGAATCTGGTCATTGTGGTTTGTAAACCTTGATTTACAGCTAAGAAACCTGCGGCTCTCCAGATGTTGCTGCATTACACCTCCTTGCAATCATGGAGTTATAGTTTACTGATTTTAAAATGTCACAAGTTCTTACTCCTGATATATGGCTTAGCATGAAATATGAACTCATCCAATTATGGATCATTTGAAAAATTGCGGTGTAATACAAACAACGGCCTAAGAGGATGTGTAAACCCAGGCTCTAACATACTGTATAGCTGGGTCCATTCATTACAACCATGGCTTGTTTATTCATGCTTTACTAAAAACCACAACTGACTGGGTTTGAACAATAAATCATAATTTGAAAACTAAATTAACTTGGTTTACACAATATATTAATCCAAAAGCAAACAAATTACAGGTAGTCCTTGTTTAGGGACCACAATTGGGACCAGCAACTCAGTTGTTAAGTGAAGCAGCCGCTAAGTGAAACCACAACTGTGCTTATGATCTTACTTCAATTTTCCTTTGCTTTACAGACCTGCAAAGATCATAAATGCAAGGATTGGTTGTAAAGTTACTTTTTCATCACTGTTGTAACTGTGGTTGCTAAACAAGGTAGTCGCTAAATGAGGACTACCTGTAATATCACTGAAACAGAATGCTATTTCTCATGGATTAAATAGACATGAACATTTTTATTACAATATAGCTTGGTTC